GAGGAACGGGGATCTCCCCGGCCCCTGTTAGACAGTTCTTAGTTGGAAGTTATTATAATTAATATTGCTAAGAATGTTCTTTTTTTCTTTCTTTTTTTTTTTTTTGCGGAACCGGGATTGAACTCAGATCCTTGCGTTTGCCAGTTAAGCGCTTATCCTACTGAGCCATCTCCCCGGCCCCACACAGCAGATATTTGAAGTTGACAAATGCATTTGGCTCATTTAACATCACTCTCTTACTGAAGAAAGAAGTAGCTAGATTCAGAGAGACTGTGTGGCTTCCCACACAAAGAGGAAACAGCCAACAGGTTGTTTTCCCAGCCAGAACTCCGGCTTTGAAGACCACACCATGGACCTTGAAGTTCGGGAGACCCTGATTCCAATGTGAGCTTTTGATCTTCTCCAATCGTCAATCTTTACAGGTCCCGAAAGTACCTTGGTAGTACCAATGGTTTCACCAATAAATACACGGCATGGGAGACTAAATTCTCTTATTTGCAGATCAACTGTTTGCTGTAGACCAATCACAGAGATAGAGAACTAAGATCAAGAGATTCATTCTACTGTATTTCTTTTATAACACCTGCGTGCAAAAGTCATTGGTTCTGTAAATAAATCAAATGGACCTGGAAGAAAAAGCCGGTACCTTTTGGGAGCTTAGCAGAGTTATAACACTGGCCTAGGAGCTAAACGCATGTTTTGATTTCACAGTCTCTACAGCAGACAAGAAAACTGCAACAGGAACAGGGGAAGATGCAGATTGATGGCAGCAAGAGAAATGAAAAGTTCTTTATACAGATAGATGAGTCTGTATCTACTTCGTAATAAACATACGTACGTAAAACCTGTGGCCGGAGTCCCACAGACATAACACAAGAAAGTTATCCAGTCCTACCCCAGAAAGGAAAAGAGTGACTTGAGTGTGGAGCTTAAAATCTTAAGGTTTTGATCACTGGTGACTCAGACAAGAACTGCGGCAGTCCGGTGGGGCAGCACAGCCTGTAATCCCAGCCCTTGTGAGATTGAGGCAGGCGGGTTGCTTCAAGTTTGAGGCCAGATTGGGCTACTTAGTTCAAGACCAACCTGCACTACAAAGTAAGACTCTTTCTCAAAAAACAACAACAAGGCAGGGCATACAGCTCAGCGGCCTGGCAAATGCAAGGTCCTGTGTTCTATTCCTAGTACCACAATAAACAAAAAAAAAAAAAAAAAAAAACAGAGCCACTGCAATTGTTCACAAGACTGGAATAGCTACGGAAGCAAGCTCAACTCTAAACATAAATCTGCATGTAAGTTCATTACATATTATTTTAGTAACGCGTGCATTTGGCAAATTTTCAAATCTCGAGAGGAAATGTTGCTATCATAATAACAGTAACTACCATTTATTGGCTGCACATATCACACACTATGCCAGGTGCTCCAAATGCATTGATCTTATTTCACTCCACAGAGAATGCACTCGGCATAAGTGCAGAAGCCACGTTCAGATGACAGCATTGCTGCGTGCTAAGCACACAGCCTCAGGAATCTTAGCCAGCCTCTGGGCACCATCTCACTTTAAGGCAGGAACACCTCCATTTAGCTCAAAGAGAGATATTAAAAAAAAAAATCACTGAGTCATCTCTTTACTGGTAGAAAAGTGACGAGATCCTCACCTACAGGCAATTTACCTGAACACCACACAGGGTCACCAGGTTCCCTGGAAGACATTTAAGGCTAATTGTGGATACATCAATGCTAAATATCTACAATACAGTCAATATGACACAATAATTAACCAGACGTTTTAGAACAGTTGTTTGAAAGTATTAAAATAAAATCTAGGTGTTTAGATTACTCCATCACCTAGCACACCTGGCAGTGCCCTGAATACTACAGATAAGATAAAAAGCAGAGGCAATAAAATCAACAGACACCAGGCAGGTGGCAGCACTCTGGCCGTCGTGTGCACTGGGACCCGTGCCTGCAAGAACGATTCCTGCCAGGGACGGAGAGGCATCATGAAACATGAACAAGGTCACGCTGCATCCTAGAGGATTTTCTCCTGACAGCAATACTAGAGCAGGTACTTCCAAGCCAATTTTACGTAAGTTACAAAACTTCAGTCATGGAGAAACTACATGATTTGTTCTCTCTCTCTCTCTCTCTCTCTCTCTCTCTCTCTCTCTCTCTCTCTCCCCCCACCTCCTCATTTTCATAGGCCACCTGTAGAGTGTAATAGTAGTTCCAGTCTTGCTGGCTCCAAACACAGGCTTTTTCTCTCTGCCATATTAACAGATAATTTTTGGAAATTAATTTATATGAAAAACTTCATTTTCCAAAAAATCAAGATAAAAATATAGAAGTAATTTGCTCATAAACAGATGACACTACTGATTAAAGTTGTGTGTGTGTGTGTGTGTGTGTGTGTGTGTGTGTGTGTTTAAACAATATCAGCTGTGGGTTCAATTTTATCCAACCAACCAGCAGGCTTTCTTCCTTTTTTTTCCTTTTCTTTTTTTAATGTAAAAGGAATCCGTCATGTGCCTCCTCTATTGCTTCATGGGGTGTCCATCCTGTTCCTCCTTCCTGCCCTTTACACAACTAGCAAAGCCTTCGTTCAACAGGCGTTCTGGAAAAGCCACACAGAGACACAGACACGCGTGCATACTCTATAAGGCCACGTTACTAATGAATGACCCAGAAGCAAAACATTTTGTTCTTTTACTCTTTGCACATCCAAGGAGGAAAAAGAGAAAAAAATAGATAGACAGATAGATAGATAGATAGATAGATAGATAGATAGATAGATAGATAGATAGTCTGATTTGGTGAGTAACAAGGAGAACAAGGTTAGATCAGCAAAAACAAAATGGAACACTAGGTAAAAAAAAATCTTAGTCAGGCATGGTGGTGCACATCTGTAATCCCAGGATTCTGGAGGCTGAGGCAGAAGGATCCTTGTGAGTTCAAGACCAGCCTGGGCTACAAAGCGAGCTCAAGGCCAGCCTGAGCTGCATAGGGAGACCCTGTCTGAAAGATAAAAAAAAAAATCTTCCAAGAATCTATTTCAAAAACTTTAGCTTTACTTTGATAATATAAATGTCCTTCCTACAACTTTATTAAACCAGTTTTCATTCCATATAATTAGAGTATCATTCCACATAATTATGGTATATATGGTGCCTGAGTAAGACTTAGTACTTTACAGTTTCAGAGACATGATAATCAATACTTTCTAAATTCAGATCTTCTTTTCTGAACCAAAAATAGAAAAAAAGAGAAAGAGATAAAAATATCTTCCATAAATTATAGTAAATAATAACTTGATGAAGTTACCATACTGCCTTAATGAACTAATGGGATTCCCACAATGCCATCGATCGGGGTTGTACTAGTACACGACTCCAACAATAGCACTGTCTGGTAGTCCCAATTCTTAACAAGATGATATAAAACATAACTTCTGGATTTCTGCTAGCCTTGCTGATAAAATGGTATCTTGTAACAGTTTCACAGAGGTCCATCTTCTCCCTTTATCTTTGAAGAACCATTTAGTATCTTTTATGTGAGCTATTTATTTTGCCAAACTTTCTATTCATTACTTTTTTCAGTTTCTTAAATCCTAGGAGGATTAACTCTCTGTCAGCATTCAGAATCACAAATATATTTTTCCTTTATGTTCTTGGTTATAGTCTTTTTCTTTTTTAATTACCCAAATGTCTGTAGCAAAATGTATCTATCTTTTGTGATTTCTGGGTTTCAAGTCAAATGAGAAAGACTGTCTACTCCCAGCTTAATAAATAATTCTTGTGGGTCTTCCAGTACTTTTGTGATTTCATTTTAAAATTTTCGATTCACTTGGCATTCATCTTAGTAGGTAGTAGATAGATTCAATGTTCATTTTCTTCCTGCAAGAGCGCTGAGCTGGGGCCAGGGATTTAGCTCAGCAACGCAGTGCCTTACTAATGAGCACAAGGCTCTGAGTTCAATTCCCAGTACAAACAAAACAAAGAAGACAAAACACAGGGCCAG